TTATGCTGTGTTTATAGAAAAATATTTAAAATTAATGTTATTAATTATAGCACAACTAAATTTATTGGGGTTAATCAATGTATCATGCTAGTCTCGATAGTTGCATTCTTGCAGTGTCAATTCACATCTCGAAATATATTTTCTACTTCCTGCATCGAGGAAGTACTACATTTTTAATTCAATTTTCACGTACATGTTCGAGTATATTGCCTTATATAGGAGCTCCGGCATTAGACATCCTTATAACTGTAATCGAACATTTTGAACCAAAGGTTCCAATACAATTCATAAAATAAAAATAGCAACTGGAATTGTGATTCACTCATATGCTTGGATATAACACCCCATATAAATGTTCCGATATTAGATATTATTTTCAAGAATTCTAGAATTGAAAAAATCACCATCGAAGAAGGTTTTGAAATGCGAAACAAAATTTCAACTATCGTCACTCTGCTAGTAAAAAACATTATTGAGAGGGCTTTCGTTGCTCACAATAGCGATGAAAGATTCTAGATAGAACATTGCATTACTCTTTTCTTGCACAAACAACTACCATAGTTGGGACAGGGGCAATGCACGTCCTGTGAAAGTCCGAGCATGTCAATAACAGATTAAATGAAGGAAGAAAATGGTACTTACAGTTGGACAATTTATCGAGCGACAATTTCATTTAATTTCACTAATGTTGTGCTTGCTACAATGGAGTCTAATGCAACCAAATCTATAAGTGCTTCAAATTTCAGTGTCACAATTAATTGAATTCAGTTCTTCCTTCATTTAATTCCATTTTTTGCTATTTTCTCAACTTTACGGTTTTATTATTTTGATTGCATTTTCAAATATTTTTTAATTATTAAGAAAATCTAATCTAATCTATTCCAATTTTCAAAATCCAGTCTTGTCTAGTTTTCAAAAATCCCGACCAAATCATTTTGTGCCCTGCTTAAGTAGTTATTTCTGATTTCACCCATATATATAAGCAAACAAAGAAAACTATTTACTTTGTGGTCTTCAAATAATTTTCTTTGGATTATATTATATTCATTCTTCCAATGCGATATTTTTCTTATAACATTTGACATTTTTAAATAGTTTCTCATAACAAGTATGAAGTATATGATAAAATTAAGAAACATAAAAACATTTTAGATTTTTTTGAGATAAATATTATTATTCACAAATTCTCATATTTTTCTACAATTTTTGCTTCATTTGTTCGAAATTTTAAATTTTTAGAACATAGAAATGAAATTTATATTCATTTTTACAAAATAAAATTTAATTGGGAATAATGTATATACTCAAACACACTTTTTGACATGGCCCAATACTTCGTAGTCTAAAAATCCAAGTATATCCACAGTCCTGCCCAAAATTTGATATTTACTTACTGATTTCATCTGGTCAACAGTTATGCATCGACTAGTATTTATTCTGGTTGGTTATTTTTTTGGGCCCATCAAATTTTTTAGGCCAAAATAAGTACTTTACCGACTTATAATTCTCTCAGTCGGCAAATATTTAGGTACTAAAATCTCCTGCCAAAGGAGTTAGACAAAAAATAAGACATTCACCAACCTTTTTAACGTGGTCGGCATGTGTCTCATCTAGGCCGATTAATATATTGTCTTGGTCAGAAAATATTATGGTGACAAGTAAATAAAATATTTACCAACCCTTTTTTAACGTAGGTCGGCAAAGGTGTTTCATCTAGGCCGACTAATATATTATCTTGGTCAGTAAATGTTAAAGTGTCAAGTTAAAATAAGATATCCACCGACTCATTTCATAGTAGTCGGCAAATATGTATAGTATAGGCCGACTGCTAATTTGTTCAGTCGGCATATATAGTTTTCGATGGCTAGTTTTTAGACTGGTTCGGAAAAATTGGTTGGCAAATATGAATATTATTGACCATTTCCATTTGGTCGGGAAAACTCTAGTCGGTAAAAGTTTACCCAACTAAAAATATTTATTGGTCACTATAACAATTTTTTACCAACTAATTTTTTATTGGTTAGGAAACCCTGGTCGGGAAAGCCATAGTTTCTTGTAGTGGGTAAAGCTTGTGGTTCGGTTCTTTTCAGATGGATGAAGACCATACAAATCGGTGACATGTAGGGATGTCAAACGAGCCGAGCAACTCTTCGGCTCGTGGGCGGCCTGAGCTCGTCATATCCCTACGAGCCGAGCGGCTCGTCGGCGACTTGGGCTCGTCATTTGAGTCGAGCAGCTGGCTCAGTCCCACGAGCCATTTTTGACGAGTCGTGGGCTTGTCAAAAAATGTGTGAATTTAAAAAAAAAAATTAAAAAAATTGAAAAATCACGAGCTCACCCCCAAGCAATGAGCCGAGCTCATGGGTTAAAGGGCCAAGTCGGCTCGACTCGGTCCATTGCCATTATTACTGACATGTTGACACTTGCTCGTGTGGTGTTCATCTACCCAAGTGGCTTGAAAATGGGTTCATGATGTAATAGAAGTCCCCCAAATCATACTCTGTAACATGTAAGAATTTTCTAAGACTTCTAGAAATTTATAGAATTTTTCTTGAAAATTTTAGGACTTTCAAAAATCTTTTGGGTTGCAAATAACATTTTTTTTCTTTTTTTTCTAAACACCAAGGGATCAAATAAAAGGTTTTCCTTCATCACCCTAACTCCTCATAAAATCTATATATAAAGGTGCTAGGTTTAATCTTCTGGAGAAAAATGGGTTGTTGAAGGGTGGGGATCAACCCCCTAACCTTAGAAGGTCGACCTACACGGAGTTTTGTGGATAGGGTTCTTGGGGTAAGGGGTTGACCCATGTTTGGGCAATTGAGTAGTCCAAACTAAAATATATAAGTTTTGGTATAAATTTCAAAATTAGAATCTGTAAAAGGTATTGTATACTTGACTCAATATGCCTTCCAATGGTATTATGTCTATATGCCTTCCAATGGTATTATGTCTTTTGGAGAACTCTATCAATAGTGAAACACTAGTTTCTCAACATGTTCGGCATAGTGCCATACCTAGTTTTACTCTGAAACCCCATATTCGTATCTTTATCTTCCATGTACTCTATTTAGATGGTATTTGATCCTAAATGTGGTGCATAAACAGGACTTCAAGTGAATTGAAAAATATATGGAGGATCGAAGTCGCGAATGCTTGGATAGGCAAGTAACTGTTCAACTACAATGTAAAATAATAATATTTTTATTATAATACGCTTCTATGTAATTACATGAGATTTCCTTCCGGTGCAATATACGTGAAATATTATTTTGTCAATGAATATATGTATAATATGAGAGTAGTTGAAATATGATGTTATCAATGTACATAGATTTTTATTTGAAAACTGTCATATGTAATTGTGACTTATAAATGGTATATGAGATATAGCACGCATGTTGCATGGACCTAAAAGATGTGGTCTTTCTCAACTTGTAAAGAAGAGATAACAAAAGCAAATAGATGATTGATAATACTCAAATACGACATATAGAATGAGAAGATAACATTTTATATAATTTAATCCCTTTGAAGGTGTACCATACTATACATTGTGTCTCTATAAATATCATGCTTGAGGCTCATGATGGTCATTATGGGCAGCCAATTATAGGGTGTTTGGTGGTATCAACGATGTCGGGAAGTGCCTTGGTGGCATTGAAATTGCGGATTAGCATGACAAACTGTATACATAGTCCAAGCATGATTTGTACATGTTATATGTCCCAGTGTAGTGTCATGAGTCTCGGTGGGCAACATCAAATACAACTAAGATCTCTTGAGCCTCGATGGGTGATGATGAACCCACATATACTAGAAGGCATGTATATTATTGGCTATATTAATAATTGAGCTCATATGTCATACCGTATTGAGATTTAGGCCCAAAGATTTGAAAGACGAATAAATTGAGATAGTAAAGAAAAATGTAAATTTGGAGAATGAGAAAATATTGTAAATCATGCATATGCATATCGTTATCTGCTGAGTGTTTGTTCATATTGTTTTGAATCATAGGTGTGGAAAATGTTTAATGGAGGTTGGTATCAGCTTCTGGATGATGAAACGACTGTGCATTGGTACGTAATCGTGGTTGAATGGGCCATCAAAAGACAAACCAAAAGAAGGTTATAACTGATTCTATTGAAATTATTTTGCTTTCAAAAATAATTTATTATAATTATAATTTTAATTCTCGAATGTCCTCCACTATGTTAAGTAAACACTACCTATTAATTGTTTTAAGCTACGTTACTTTTTTTTAGATAGATTTAAATAAAATACTAATGAAATAATGTTAAAAATATTTATTTTAATTGAGCCCAAACAGGGGCTAAAGATTATCAATAGGTGGTGATCGAATTGCAAAAACTAGAATTTGAGAAATTGAAGAGGAGAAAGACTTAAATTCTCATTCGAGGTATGAGATATTGAGATTGCTATATGTAGAAACAAAACAACTGGATCCTAGGTTAGTGAAGGTAAATAAAGGTTGTGTCAAACTTGTTCAATTAGAATATGCTAAAATCAAGCCACTTGATCCAAGTAAAAAGAAAAAAAATACTAGGGTCAAATTGAATGACCAATTTCAAAAGATGTTGAATATAGAAGCCATAGACAAATAGAGGAATTAAATAAAACTGTTTTCATTTCCAATCTACTCTACAATTTGTTGGTATTTCACAAATTTATCATTTATATTGTTTTCACCTATGAAAAAACATTTTTGCAAAACATAAGCATGTTTAGCTCATCATACTTGATTAAGATGTTTATACAATGAATAAGATTATAACTTTTTTTAATCTTGTCAAAAATCATTGAATAATTATGGCGATCATGTTGTATGCTGTAATGACTAATTGTGGTGATCACGTTGTATGTGGTAATGATAGTTTAGCAACAAACTTAAAAAAAATAAATAAATAAATAAATGAAAAGAAAAGGAAAAGTACCAAACTTGCTGTCTTCTTTAATATTTTCTAGACTCCAACTTATTTTGAAACATTCTTTGTTATATGAGAGAATGGATTTATTTAAAGTAAAAGTGTCTAAATTTGACCCGTCAAAGCCAATCATTTGAGACAGAGATTGATTTGGGCAGATAGGAACCTTAAAGTTGTAGAATCCCCCAGTCCTCAATCTCGATATAACTAACGGATTTTCGATTTTTTCAAAACTAGCTTCCAAATGCGTCTTTGTCCCCCTTTAATTTAGCAGCAGAACCAATAATCAAGATTCTCTATATCGTTTACTCATCCACCTTTTCCTAAATATATATAACCTTGTAAATTCCAATCTGTTCTATCCATTATTCCTTTCTTTCATTTCCATCTTTCTAAATTCTTGCCTCTATTTAGCTTTACTGTGTCATCAAGATCATCATTCCTTCATGGAGGTATAGCCCTTTTTCTCTGCCCTATCAGTCATTTCTACTTGCATTCTTACTCATGTTCAAACTCTCCTTCACAGACGATTGAATTGAAGGTGGAGATGGTTGGCTTACACGATAGAAGATTGAGGAAGTGCCTGTCAAAACTGAAAGGTATATGCACATTTCTCAATAAAATATTAATACGAAGTACATTTTTCTCTCTTATTTTCAAGCACACATTTTTTAATAAAATAATATTACACTCGAACCCAAAATTTTTCTTTATTTTTTAACTACATTTTCTCCATTAAATTACTATTCGAAAATGCATTTGGAGGAAAAAAGGGCCTCAAACAGGCTCATACATACATACATACTTAGAATTGAATGCTGATTTCTCCATTTTTGTTGCAGGGATAGAAAAAGTAGAAGTGGATGGCGATTGTCAAAAAGTAGTGGTGACAGGTTATGTACATAGAAACAAAATACTAAAAGCAGTAAGGAGAGCTGGTTTCAAAGCAGACTTCTGGTCTCCACAAAATGATCTACTTAATGCATATGCCTATGGAAGCTTAAGATTCAACAACTTCAATTTCTCCTAGAAATATCGATTTTTCCTTTTCTTTTTTTGCCTTTCCAGTTCTCTATATAGGAGGATACACCAAAGAATATGTTTTTTGTCTTTCTCATTTTGCATTTCTAAACAGAGGTGATACAGTGGGAATGGAAGATACTTAAATTTATCAGTTTCTTGATTTTTGGTCTAAAATGGATACTTTTATTGGGGAAACAAGCTGAACGGGGCTGCACACTTGCTTGTAGTTCAAGTTAGAGAATCTAACACGAAGTTTAGAATCCTTTTCTTATGAGTATCCCACATCGAAACAAAAACAAAGATTAAACCACTTTATTAATCAGAACAAATTAATACCCGGCTGCCGAGCTGGGTAACTCGAGCTTCTAACCCAAGTGGGGGCATTATGGTGTTTGGACGTTAATCAAGCCCAACCGACTGGATTCAGGTTTGCTACTCGCTGGCCTGCCCATTCCAAGCAAGGAATTGTGCTTTGTAGTCCAAGCGAAAGCATGGGCTGTTTGGCTCTTAGAGCGGAGGGGGCTGCGTCAGGCTGGTTTCACAGAGCAGCGAGAACCTCCCATTCTTTGCAGTGGAAGGATAACGGGCCACTGCTTCCTGATCCATTNAATCACTAAATGGTCCAACTAACCAAATAATCATCCAACCCAAACCCGAACCATCCAAAAGTGTAGTTCATCTCCGAGCCGAGTCAAGTCCACAGTGTCGATAAATAACCGACAACTATTTTAAATCATCGCCTGGATTATTGGGTATAAAAAAAACCCAACAATCTCCACCTTGATGCCCAATAATCTGCAAGCAACCAAAACACACAGTTTATACTTGCACAATCAAGGGAATCCAATAAAATTGGAATAACTGATCTTACCTCGTGTTTCAAACCGAAACACATACCATACTTGCTCCATGTACTCACCAGAGCTAAGGTCAAAAATACCCAAGTATAAACAAGTATTCACAATGAACAAACAATCATGCGATGAAGATATATAGGATAACACACATACAGATCTTTTCAAAATCACGTTCACACAGAACCACAGATTAACACCTAGTTAATCAAACTACGATCAACCACATATGCAACACATGTATAAATGACCCTAAGAAAAGATCTCACCACACTTATCCTATCCCATTCCGTGTTACTCCCACGTCGAGAACACATATCTCCTCTCATCGCCCACCATGCTCACTAAACCAATCACTTAACTCATGTCTAACTAGCAAGTCACAATAGATCCTAAACTCTCGGGATAATCCTCTATCACCACATCACTTCTTCCAACCTACGTGGATAATGGGACTCCACTTTACAGAAGTGATAAAAGTGCCTCTCTCACACTCCACCTGTACAGGGTCTCTTTCACAGATAAAGGATTCTACACATTTGATCACATCTCCACTTGTGATCCAAATGTCACACTCTACATCCCTCGTGCATATCACAAATGCACCTCTAGGCATCTATACTCCACCTTACCAAAAGACATCCAACTCACTGCTAATGCATCTCAAACTCACTATGGCAAAACAATAACTTTCGGTGACCACAAAGGTTATTTCAATCACCAAAGCTCCAAAAAATCCACAAAGAAAATGGCGAAGGTGGCACTCACAAAGAAAAATCGAAAAAAGAGTCGGTTATTTCACAACACTCACAAAGGAGGCTCACAAAGATAAAGAATGTAACTCTAACATGGCTGCCTCACGTAATCTCACAAACCACACAGGCTCACAAAGATAAAGGAGAGAAACGGCTGCCCAACTTTCTTCTCACTACCACACTCTCACACCATTCACAGAGCAAATAGAGTACACCTCAAAACTTAACCCACTATGCATGTAAACATATTACACAAAGTAATAAGTCACTCTAATTCATGCAATTACACACATCAAATATATTGAAAGTGTAACATCAACATTATAACAGAATTAAGTGACCACATACATGCAGAAAGGATTACACACAGATGCAATGCAAGAACCAGATTTATTCTCTCAATAAATCTCACTAGGATCACTACTCGACCCTAAAGCCACATTCGCCTTGTCTCTATCCTCATCTTTCCTTTTATTATCATTTTAGGACAATCTCTTTCAACTATGTCCAAATTTTACCATAGTTAAAATATATGTTATTTTTCGCACTTACCTTAGACCTACATTTGCCACCAATGCCAAATAATGACCACAAGTAAAGTATGAATATAATTCACATAGAATAGTCCAGTCAACTTTCCTAAGGCCACATGCAATTCTAATAATATAGAAAAATTGACAGCAAATTCACAAAGAATTTAAGGCAAATAATTCCTAAGTCTGGCAACAGGCAATGGTTACCCCTTCATGGTAACCCCAAGCCTAATGTCACCCCACACGATGACCTTTAATGTAAAAAACAAATAATTAACTTACACATTTATTTTAACTGCAATAATAAAAAGCAAAGAATACGATACCGAGCGGACCACGTTTGA